GCCGCTCGGCCCGCTGCCGCCGCAGCCGCTGCAGGTGCTGCGCGAAGAGCCGCTGCGCCTTGGCCGTGCCCTCCAGGAAGATGTAGTCGCGGTACTCGGGCGCCGCCAGCATGCGGCTGCTGGCGGCCGCCCACGTGTCGTCCGGCGCCGTCACCGCGCGCCCCACCAGCCACTCGTAGCGGTCCTGCGCCGCCGCCACGTGCTGGCTCTGCTGCTTGAGCGCCTCGAAGTAGGGCACCAGCTTGGCCTTGCCGCGGCCGCGGTCCACGAGCTGCGCCAGCGTGCCGAAGGCGAGCTCCACGTTGACGTTGGCGCGCGCCGACGTCTCCACCACGTGCAGGTTCTTGCGGGCCAGCGCGAAGGCGTGCGCGTCGCGGATGTAGCGCTCCACGCCCTCGTCGCACTTGGTGAGCGCCAGCACCACGGGCTTCTTGGTCTTGGCGAGCTGCGCGTAGAGGCCGCCGGCGAACTTGAGCTGCTCGCCGAAGTCGCGGTTCATGCCGCGGCTCACGTCCACGCAGAGCAGGAAGCCGTCCACGGCCAGCTTGCCGTCGGGCATGTGCTTCTGCTCGAAGTCCTGCTCCAGGCCCAGCTGGTCGGTGCAGAAGTACATGAGCTTCTCGGCCGAGGCCAGCTTGGTGGCGGCGGCGCGCTTGGCGTAGGGCTGCAGCGCCGTGCTGCGGTGCGCCTGGAACGTCTGGTCGTCGATGAACTCCGTCTGCTCCACCACGTGCGCCCGCCACTCGCCGCCCTCGTCGAGCGCGCGCGCCGCCTCGCCCCAGTAGAGGAAGTGGTCGTTGTTGACCACGCGCCCGCCGAAGTCGCTCGTGGACAGCACCGAGGTGTGCTCGGCGTGGAAGGCGTCGGCGGCCGGGCGCACGAAGCGGTTGCACAGGCAGGACTTGCCCACGCCGCAGGCGCCCTTCTCCTTCTCGGTGCCCGAGAGCCCCACCACGCTGAGGCCGTAGGCGCCCGCGCGCCCTTCCGCCCGCCGCGCCATGCTTCAGCGCGCCGCCGGCGCCGCCGCGCGCGCGCTCCCTGCGGGAAGGGCACCGGTCAGCGCACGGGGGACGGCACGCCCGGGAATGGGGGTACCCGAGGGGCATCCCATTCGCCTCCTCTATTCGGGAAGCTCGGGATTTGGGGTACCCGAGGGGCATCCCTTTCACCTCCTCTATTCGGGAAGCTCAGGAATTGGGGTACCCGAGGGGCATCCCATTCGCCTCCTCTATTTGGGGAGCTCGGGAATTGGGGTACCCGAGGGGCATCCC